ATTTCGTACCTCCGTTAAAAATTCTGTTAAGTTTATAGTTAACTGATGACGTGGCAATCAAAATTTTCCACATAGATAAAAAAATATATATAAACAGTATAAAAATATATATATTTTTTCTCATGTCAAGTGGGCCCACCTTTCAATATGCATCTCAGGCCATCTCCAACTGAAAGGTCTAAAAGGCCGAAAATAGCCCGAAAACCGTCTCCAACCGATGGTTAGGCCAAATGGCTCGTGGGCCCCACTGGACAAAACAGGGCCAAAGGGCCAACCGGCTGGCCCAACCCAGCCAGCCCTAGGCCAAGCTAGAAATTTGAATGCAATGGCTAGCTGACATTAGCTAGCCGTTATATTTGAAAAAAAAAAATATTTAATTATAGGCCCAAAGGTGATTTGTTCAAATCTGGGTGTTGGGATGTGGCTTTTATAAGCATGTTTGTACTCAAATCTCTCTCACAGCTAATGTGGGACTCTCCCACCCATTTCCATTTTTCGTTTTTTTTTTCTTTCTAATTCCCCTCCCACAGCCATTGTGGGACTCTCCCAACCACTTCCTTTTTTTTTATACTCTAAATAAAACCTCTCACATTTGACTTGAAATATATAAGTTGCATTTTTTTAATTTTAGTTGTAGTTACTAAATTAAAGTCGTATTTTTTAAATTTAAGTTGTAGTTTTTAAATTTAAGTTGTTGTAGTTTTTAAATTTAAATAATAAATTATGTTTGGCATTTTGGCTCTCGGTTGGAGATGGTTTTTTGTGACAGAGCTAAAACAAGCCCTATGGCCCTTTGACCCTCGATTGGAGATGATAAGAAATATGGTCATGCACTGTTCATTAAAATATTAATTTCTTGAAGGGCCAGAGGGCTAAAACTAGCGTTCGGTTGGAGATGGTGTTAGATCCCTATGCATCTCTCTTCGAGAAGATCATTACCCAGGCAGCATCTTCGTCGCCATCCTCACCTATTCACAACCATTGTCACCACTGCCACGTCCTTGAGCCACTTCACCGCCATGGTGCTCTCATTGTCTAGCACCACCTTGTACGCCATCCCCAGGCTTTTTTTTCCCCAACATCTTTGCCGACGCCCACATCAAATCCTCTAGCTCACACTGCTACCTCCGGTCCAAAAACACCAGCTTGCTTTTGTCCTTCGAGGGCAGTTTAGAAGTGGGAGGCGAAGAGGGTTTGGCTGTGTAATGACATGTGTAGCGCGGGTTGGACAATACGGCCATGGAAGCCATATGAAGGTAAACCCTAGAAATTGCAAAGAATGTGGGAAATATGATTTCTTTATTCCATTTTAGAAATTGAGAAAATATTGAATCATTATTATAGGGGATCCTTGAAATTGTAATCTCAGAAGTTTCAGAATGTCGAGTGGGATTGGAAGCCTTAGTAAAGGATCCCTGAAATTAGGGGTTTGTTGTTTGACCAAATTGATAAACGAGAGGCAATCGTTGAGCCCAAGGGAAACATCAAGGACGAAGGCGTGGAGGCCGCCACGGCCCTCGAGGTTGAAAGTGAATGAGGCAAAGCTGTTTTGAGCGAGGAAGTTCAGGGTCTTGGAACGTCTAGATAATGTCGTTGTCGTAGCCGTAGACCGTGAAGTGCAATGTGTTCTTGTTGTTACTCTGATAACGAAGTACAATAGCTGCTTGCTGCTGCTCCAATAATTAAGTGTTACGCAGAGAAAACAATGCATAACAAGCATACGAGGCCTGCCCCTTAATGTTTTTTTTTAAAATTTTTTTAAATAAAATATTAAATGAATTGAATTGAATTGAATTTCAATTCTTAAGTATTTTTTATTATTTTTTTGGCCATGTTGGACAAGTTGGCAGCCATGTCAGCATAAATGTGGACTTTAGATTTTGCCATGTCATCAGTTAAATGTAAACTTAACAGAATTTTTAACAGATGTATGAAATTGTAATAAAATGCAAGTAAATATATGTGATTGAAATGTTTTAAAAATGTTATATGAGATTGTAATTGTATCCAAACTTAAAGATGTAAAATGTAAATTTACCATTTATATTTTTTATTGTGTGTGACACAACTTGACCCGGAATGTCCACTAGGACTCCGAATCAAGTTGTGCTGGTCGACACCTAGAAGGTGACGAAACCATAAAGTATAGTGATGTGGAAAATGTGAATGAATTTAAACCTAAAAGTGCCTAAAGACAAGAGTGCTTTGTGAGCGGGAATGAACCCATTTTATACGCGACGTTAGAGCATAAGTAAAGTACAGTAATGTGTGTAAGAATCATACCCTCAGAGATAGCCATCTATACTGAGATTCGCCAAGAATCCTCGTCGATACGAACTTTCATCAGCTCAACCTAGAGGGGCGAAAAACAGAAAACGTGAGTGGGCAAAAACAAAGCTTTTTGAAACCATTTCTCTTTCCAAAAATACCTCACCATAAAACCCGTATAATTTCCTAGAAAATAATAATACATATGTATAAAGAAATCAGGCGCGAAAGTAATGAAGACCAAAGTATGTGCCATGTCAAATATCTTAATGATAAATATGTAAGCCAAGTGATGTAAATCAATATAAAATGATATATTAGCTTAAGTCACCTAACGTGACCTATAAGGCTGATTCTATAGCTCATAACCAATTCCTGTACACGAGTCAAAAGCACCTAATGTGGTATGTACGACATGATGGGTGTAAATAAATACGCTCAAGTGCTATGATCACATGAAGGCTATGCGAAGTTTCACAATTCACCTACAAGTCGGAACCACCTAATGTGGTCTGTACGACAGGTTGGCTTTTGCCTTGGATCCAAGGTGAGTGTGTGGTGCGGAAGGTGAACAATCACGTGAAGGCTAGGCCCTGGCCTCTGGCGGAGCACTAACACCGGGGTGCATGATAATGAGTACTAAATGTATCTCAACATAACCATACACACTGCAATCGCTATCATCCATATGTACTCACCTGAAGCTTACCTAGGCGTCCGCAGTGTCATACAATATTATGCTTACACATACTAATGCATATACTAAAATGAAATGCGACTATGATACGCTTATTTGAAACAGTTTCTTGGAAAATGTAAAACATATATACGTATATATAGAAAACCAAAAGCCAACTCATCTGGAGTCCACGCTACAACTCCCTAGCATGAATATTAAGGTGTCCCGAATGATTGGTGCCTAGAACAATTATCAAATCACATCTCAGAATTATTATCGATAGAATATATAACTGACGTAAAACACATCCGTAAGGGCATTCTAGAATGATTTGAGACCTATTGACCAAAAGTCAACCGTCAATCAGCGATCGACGATAAGGTCGACAACCCTACATAACTCGATCCGGAAGATCTGCTCCTCGGATTTCCGATCAGTAACTTACAAAGATCCACATTATGCTTCTAAAATATCATCCTAAAATTTCATTATGATCCAATGGTTGGATCTCCGCCAATTGCAAATTCAAGTGGCGATCAAGGTTTTATTTTACGAACTTACAAATCCAATTTGGGAAGATCCGAGAGTCAGATTCCCGATTCGTAAGTTCCTATGATCCTCAAATATTATGTACTATAACGTATTGAGTTTTGGTGACGATCCAACGGTCAAATCTTCGATTCATATAATTATCAAGTAACGTACCATAATCAAACTACATTCACAATAATCAAATCACATCATATGGATATCAAATCTAAGATCAATATATCGATTTAACGTAAACTAGCATTGGCGGCCCACTAGCCACGCGCCGCCTCCCCGACTCACCGAAAAAAATTCTATTATTTCTAAAAATTCTCAAACTTCATAGAAATAAAGATCTCAATGAGTGGAGCAACTTTCATACCTGTGACTAAGGCCAATTTGGCCGGGAAAAGCCTCAATTTCACTCTAACCTGCGGGAAACCCTAAAGAGGGTGTGCTTCAATTCGTCACCTTCGATGATTTGCCGCCCATACAGTTGGTTGGGCTTTGTTCCTGACCTCAAGAGGAGTTTAATATGGGTGATGACCATAGTTGGAATTTACAGGATCGGCGGAATTGCCGCTGTGGAGTCCAACACCCACATGGTTGTTCACCGTGAAATAATGCCCAAAACAGCATGAGTTTGGTGGAAAATATGAAGGTGGAGGGTCCATAAGTTAATCTATATTGGTGGATGGCTACAATTTGCTTGAAAATCGACGATTTCTAGTCAGAAATTCACCCACAAACCGGGTCAATTCACGAGTCAGGGAGGAGATCCGATTCTCCTCCCTCCCCATTCCCTCATTTCCCTTCTTCCTCATTGGCCTGTTCCTCCCTCCTTTCTTTCCTTTATTTCCTATCTCCACCGCCCATCTCCATTCTTCTTCAATCTGGGCCACACACGTGGCATTCCAGATTTTGTTTCAAAACGCTGGAGCATTCTAGAAAATAATGAATTTACAATTTCGCCCTCAACTTCATTCACTAATATCTCCTTCGTTATAACTCCAAATCATGTCCCGTTTGCGCCCATGCGCTCGTAGCAACGAGTACTACCCAAATACAACAAGAAAATAGATATTAAGGGACACGACAAGTCGGTTATTTAAATCAACGCATTTGCCTCAAAGGGCATTTTCAAAATTTCTCATTTTAAATTATAAAAATTGTAATAATTGGGGACTGGTTGTTACAGTGTGAATGCATGTAGGGCAAGTTTTGATGAAAATAATTTAAGGCCTAGGATGATTTTGATTAGTGAGGACGCAAGAAAGTTGCATCTTTGTTTTCCAAAAAATAAAAAAACAAGAACAAAAAATAAAAAAGAGAAGAGAAATTTGCATCATCATGCCTAAATTTAGGCCCAAGAAAATTATAAAAAAAAAAACTTTAACGAAAAGTTCTAAGTACTGTTTACTTTAACGAAAAATCATATTTTTATATTAAAAAACTAATCTTGCTACTATTTTTTTATTTTTTTTTATTTTGTCCTTATTTTTAAAATTTAAAAATTTTCGAGTTTTTTTCGTTGATGAGAAAGAAAGAGGTGTGAAGATTGATGCAGAGGAATGAGGATCCTCATTTATCAGAGGGGTAGAGTGTCAGACGGAGGCAGAGGGAAATAGAGGAGGCGACCGAAAGAAGAAAAGATTGAGGAGGCTCGGCAGATTGGAGTGGACCTGCAAAGGCACTGAACCAAGTGTAAGTATTTGAGTGGTAACTCTGATTTTTCTTCTTTCTATGATTAATTGACTGGTTGGTTTTGCTTCATTTTCTCATTAGTTGATGTTTTCTGGGTCATCGAATTTAGGGCTTAATTTTGGTAATTTTGGGTTTCAATTGCGTTCTCATTAGTTGATATTACATTGCTTTTGAGCTGAGGTTTTGAATCAATATTGTATACATGTAGTCCGAATGTATGTACAAAACTATAGTAATTTATATGAATTACTATCAAATTTGAGGGATATTGTTTTCTTTTTTAATCTTGTAATTTGAAGGTTCTGGTCATGTTTTGCAAGTTGGGTTGTCTATGGAATTGGGTCATGATGCATATTATCTATTCAACTTTTCTTGACACACGCAATATTCTAAACTAGTATGATTTTCGGGGGACGGGGATTCGAACTCAGGTTTAAGGAGACGAAACTGAAGGAAGATGGCATTTTTTTTTTATGGAAGCAGCAGGTTTGGATCGATTAGAGTTGTACTTTGGTGGTTAATGTGGTTGGTTCTGTTCTTTTGAGCAATCTGGTTTGTCTAAGGATTTGGGTCACCGGTGGATTTCATTTTTATGATAATGAGTGGAAAAGTGAAGTGCATAGTGATTTGAACTCCGGTGCAAGGGACGGAATTGTTGGAAAGTGGTATTTTTTTTAAAAGCAGTGGTTTTGGGTCGATTAAAGAGTTCTATTTTTGGTTGTTAATGTAGTTGTTATGTGCTAAGCTTGTTGCTTATTACACCATAAAAATATCAATGTTTTGGTTTTGTTCTAAATGACTCTCTGAATATGTTGTACTTGTTATGTTTTCTGTATTGACTCATTTGCTTTTGTCTACCCTTTTGTGGAGCAGATGTGATTTTACATCTGTGTAAAATTTTTGGCACTGCAAAGGCATTATGGCACTGAGGAAGAAATTGTGCGAGAGTTCCAATTTCAATGGCAAAATTATGTACAGCTTTGCAAGGTATTACAGCTCAAAGATGGACTTAAGGAAGCTAAAGGCTATGATTCAGAAGAGAATCCAAAACTGGGCTAAAGGTTACCCAGTGCCTGCCATGGTACCAGTGGCCGAGGAGGTCCTTGATTCCCGGAGGCTTGTTATGCAAGGTGTCTCTACTCTCCTCAAAATGATAACAGTTTTGGCCTGCAAGTAAATCCCTCGTCTGCCAAGTATTTATTGCTTTTACTTTTTAAATACTTTTTTAAGGGATGCATATGAACTTTTAAGCTTTGAATTACTGGGCATTTTATTGTTCTATCACATAATTACTGATGTATCGTGGAAGAATATCAACTTTGAAGCTCCAGAGTTTATGTTCTGATTTCTTGTTTAGGAACAATTTGACCACTTTATCTGCCATGTTCCTGACTCCTGAGCTTCCTAAATGTTATTTTGAGAGCTGTGTTTTCAAAACTAGAGTTATCTAATTGACCATCCGGTCCCTACTGCTCTATTTGAACAATTTCTGTCACTCAAAAGAAAAGCCTGCTTTTTGCAGGTTCTGTCCAGAAGTGTATATAGGTGAGAAAGGCCACTTAATTCAGACATGTTGTGGTTTCAAACATCGTGGCAAGAATCGGGTTCATGAATGGATAGTTGGTGGTTTGAAAGATGTGCTTGTTCCAGTAGAGGCATTTCACCTTAAGCACATGTTCCAGGATATTATAAAACACCATCAGAGGTTTGACTTTGAACGTGTTCCCGCAGTTGTGGAGCTATGCTGGCAAGCAGGTGCAAATGATGGAAATCATTTAAATTGGAACTCAGGAAGTGATTGCCTTGGTGTTGATGGAGTTGAGTCTTTGTCACCCGATGAGCTGATTCTGGTTGCCAGTGGAACTTTGAGGGCATGGGAAATGTTTAGAGATGGTGTGGAAAAGTTACTGATGGTTTATCGAGCAGAAGTCTGTAAACATTGTTCAGAAGTTCATATTGGGCCATCTGGCCATAAAGCTCGACTTTGTGGAGTGTTTAAGTATGAAAGTTGGCAGGGAACCCATTTTTGGAGAAAGGCAAATATGGATGATCTTGTGCCTCCAAAGACTGTATGGCGGTGGAGGCCTCAAGATCCTCAAGTACTTTTGAATGAAGGGAGGGGATTTTATGGGCATACTGCGGCAGTGGTAGAACTATGCACACAGGCAGGTGCCATTGCACCGCCAAAGTATCACTGTATGATGAAACTGCAGGGTGTAAGTACCACACTTGGAGATCAAAGATTGTTCCACCCAAATGCTCAAATGTATATGTCGGTTGATTCCAAGGTAATTGAACCCAGCAGAAGCTCCCCAGGGCTGCCAGATCACAGATGTGTGTAGAATTGGAAGCTGTGATGCTTGGTGATGTAAAATGGGAAAGTAAAGCCCCACAGAAGCTCCCTTAGTAGACGGCCTTATCTTCATTCTTGAGAGTGATTGTAACATCAGATGACTGACAACGGAGTTCAAGATGGATCGCAACATCAACTGAACGCGTATTGCCCCCTTTCAGTTGGAGCTTGAAAGGGCAGAGCAAATAGTAGTTTTGCTTAAGCTATTGACACAGAAACAAGAATGCATAGTAGAAAGAGTGAAAGCATGAAAGGAGTTAAGCGCATCCGAAATTTAATTAGGCTTTTCTTGTATTTGATGATGTTATAGATGGTTAATACAAAATAATTGAAATGCGTAACGAAATTGAATATAAATTTTCAGTGCTAATGACTAGTTTAAGATTGATTTTCAGCTACAGAACTACTATTGTCTTGCATATTAATATCCGCCGCGATGGACTGTCCCTTTGAATACGTATATGGAATCTCCATCTTCCACACCATGCGACCTGAGGCTGCAGTTTTCTCCCATAGTCATCTGCCTAAGCATGAACAAATAATCGTCAATCGGAAGAAGTTTTCTGCTCAGAAGCAGTTGCCTCAGCTCATTAACTGTGTTCGAGTCCTTGATTCTCACAGGAATGCTGGTCGCATTGAGCAAACTCGAGGATGTTTGAACCACAAGACTCAACCTCCTCGACGGAGGGTCACTCTTTATTCGATTCATGGTCTTGAGCAACAATAGTATCTCGGAAAATTCACGAACACTGTACTCACTCAAGTTGCGAAAATCGTCTTCCAACTCGATTCCACAGAAAAAGAGTGAAATTCTTTTGATGGGTGTGCCATCAATAATGTGGATTTTCTCTTTAAGCCTGTACACAGTTTCTGTTCTACCCGCTTGTATCTGGTGCCGCCTCTCTGAAATTTTTATGTTAACCGGAATCGTAGTCGGTTCCATGGATTTGACGGTGAGGTCGATTTTTGTACCTGGTGTGACAATTGGATAATCTTCCATGTCTAGTCCATCTACCAACTCTCATCCACATACTGCTAGGGTTTGAGAAGCCATTGGGATGCCCAAGAGCTGTTCCATCTTCTTTTTGATTTCAACAACTGGTTCTTTGAGACCTACTTCTAGGGTAAATTCATGCTCCCATACATCAATTATTACCCTCATTGTTTCACCGCATTTAGGTTTGAATCCAGAACGCTGTAGTTTGAAGGTAAGTTTATATTTGTATGCCAAATTATCTTTCAAGAACGGTAAAGAATGGTTTATAAGTTCAAAAAGTGGGTACTAGAGTCATGTGAAACTCATGAGTATCCCATCATTCTACATGTATGCTGAATTCATTATAAAAGCATCAACAATTTTGAACAGGAGCATGAATAATTCATGAAGGATATGCTGCTCCTATCCCCCACACACATATATGGTAGTAGTAAAGCTCCGTTTCAAGTCCTCCAAGCTTAATTTTTTCCGTTATAATGGAGTAATCGAACATTTGATCTAACCTAATCTTAACTCATTTTCTATGTCCAGATTATTTACAAAGTATGGGGATTTGGTTTAGAAAAAATTAGAACTAGATGCCTCATTTTTTAGACATTTATCTACTAAACTCTATCACTTTCCGTTATAATGGAGTAATCGAACATTTGATCTAACCTAATCTTAACTCATTTTCTATGTCCAGATTATTTACAAAATATGGGGATTTGGTTTAGAGAAAATTAGAATTAGATGCCTCATTTTTTAGACATTTATCTACTAAACTCTATCATTCCAACTTTGATTAAAGCGCTTTCACTTTTGATTAAACTGTTACATCCTACATCGCCCATGGAAGTGGATCCTCTATGCCTTATATGTGCATGCTCACCTCCTTTAGCACGAGGCCTTTTGGGAACTCACTGGTTTCGAATTCCATCGGAACACCAAAATTAAGCGAGAAAGGGGTCAGAGCATTCCTAGGATGGATGACCCACTGAGAAGTTCTGCTTGCATGAGTTCCCAGAACAAAACCGTGAAGGTGTGGTTGGGGCCCAAAGCGGACAATATTGTGCTACGGCTGAGCCGAGCTCGAGATGTGGTGGAGCTCGGGTTGGGATGTGACATAAACTCTATATTCCAGGTACATTCTTAACTTGAGTGTTTTTTTAATTTTAAATTCCTCTTCATATCAAAAATGCATCCAGTAATATTAATTAATTTATTGCTATTTTTATGGATCTCATCCTTCCTCAATTTAAGGATTCAATTAAATCTAATGAGATGAAGATTAATTGGATGCAATATAATTTTTTTTTTAATTTTCAACTCAAAGTTTTATACAGATTTAAAAATAAAAATAAAATTTCTTTTATAATTAAAATAAGGATAACAACACATATTGTAACAACCTGTCCCCAATTATTACGATTTTTATAATTTAAAATGAGAAAATTCGAAAATAACCTTTGAGGCAAATGCGTTGATTTTAATAACTGCCTTGTCATGTCACAAGATCTGTTTTCTTGGTGTATTTGGGTAGTACTCATCACTACGAGCGCGTGGGCACAAACGGGACGTGATTTGAAGTTATAACGAAGGAGATATTAACGAATGAAGTTGAGTGCGAAACTGTAAATTCATTATTTTCTGGAATGCTCCAGATTTTTGGAACAAACTCTGGAATACCACGTGTGTGGCCCAAATTGAAGAAGAATGGAGATGAGCGGTGGAGATAGGAAATAAAGGAGAGAAATGAGGGAGGAACCGGCCAATGAGAAAGAAAGGAAATTAGGGAAACGAGGGAAGGGGGAAAGAGGAGAACCGGATCTCCTCCCCTGACCCGTGAATTGACCCGGTTTGTGGGTGAATTTCTGACAAGAAATCGTCCATTTTTTGGAAAATTGTAGCCATCCACCACCATAGATCAACTTATGGACCCTCCACCTTCATACTTTCCACCAAACCCGTGCTGTTTTGGGCATTATTTCACGGTGAACAACCATGAGGCTTTTCCTGGCCAAATTGGCCTTAGTCACAGGTATAAAAGTTGTTCCACTCATGGAGATCTTCATTTCTGTGAAGTTTGAGAATTTTTAGAAATAGTGGAATTTTTCCGGCAAGTCGGGATGGCCGACCACCACCGGGGGCGATGCGTGTGGTAGCGCGTGGCTAGTGGGCCACCAATGCTGTTTTATGTTAAATAGATATATTGATCTCATATTTGATATCCATATGATGTGATTTGATTATTGTGAATCTAGTTTGATTATGGTGCGTTACTTGATAATTATATGAATAAACGATCAGATCGTTGGATCGTCACCAAAACTCAATACGTTATAGTACAATATTTGAGGATCATAGGAACTTACGGATCAAGAATCTGACTATCAGATCTTAACAAATTGGATTTGTAAGTTTTTAAAATAAAACGTTGACCGCCACTTGAATTTGCAATTGGCGGAGATCCAACCGTTAGATCATAATGAAATTTTAGGATGATGTTTTAGAAGCATAATGTGGATCTTTGGAAGTTATTGATCGGAAATCTGAGGAGCGGATATTCCAAATAGAGTTACGTAGGGTTGTGGACCCTACCGTTGATCGCTGACCGACAGTTGAATTTTGGTCAATGGGTCTCAAATCATTCTAGAACGCCCTTAGGGATGTGTTTTACATAATTTATATATTATATTGATAAGAATTCTGAGATTTGGTTTGATAATTGTTCTAGGCGCCGATCATTCGGGACGCCTTGATATTCGTGCTAGGGAGTTGTACTGTGGACTTCAGGTGAGTGGGCTTTTGGTTTTCTATATATACATATAGACGTTTTACATTTTCCTTGAAACTGTTTGAAATAAGCGTATATTTTAAGTGCCATGTCATACTCACATTTCATTTTAGTATATGCATTAGTATGTGTATGCATAATATTGTATGATGCTGCGAACGCCCAGGTAAGCTTCAGGTGAGTACATATGGATGATAGCGATTGCAGTGTGTATGGTTATGTTGAGATACATTTAGTACTCATTATCCTACACCCCGGTGTTAGTGCTCTGCCCGAGGCTAGGGCCTAGCCTTCACGTGATCGTTCACCTCCCGCACCACACGCTCACCTTGGATCCAAGGCAGGTGCCAGCCTGTCGTACAAACCACATTAGGTGGTTCCGACTCGTATGTGACTTGCGATACTTTGCACAACCTTCATGTGATCGTAGCACTTGAGCGTATTATTTACACCCAACCTGTCATACAAACCACATTATGTGGTTCCGACTCGTGTGCAGGAATTGGTTATGAGCTATAGATTCAGCCGTATAGGTCACGTTAGGTGACTCTGGCTGATATATCATTTTATATTAATTTACATCACCTGACTTACATATTTATCATTGAGATACTTGACATGGCACATACTTTGGTTTTCATTGCTTTCGAGCCTGATTTCTTTATACGTATGTATTATTATTTTCTGGGAAATTATACGGGTTTTACGGTGAGGGGTTATTATTTTTGGAAAGAGAAATGGTTTCAAAAGCTTTGTTTTTGCCCACTCACATTTTCTGTTTTTCACCCCTCCAGGTTTAGCTGATGAAAGTTCGTATCGACGAGGATTCTTGATGAATCTCAGTATATGTGGCTATCTCTGAGGGTATGATTCTTACCCATACTACTGTACTTTACTTATGCTCTGACGTCGCGTGTGAAATGGGTTCATTCCCGCTCATAGCGCACTCTTACCTTTAGGCACTTTTAGGTTTAAATTCATTCACATTTTTCACATCACTATACTTTATGGCTTCGTCACCTTCCAGGTGTCTGCCAGCACAGCTTAATTCGGAGTCCTAGTGGACATTCCGGGTTAGGGTGTGTCAGTATAGTATCAGAGCATAAGTTGGGCAGTATCGCATTCATCACACACGTGATGTAAACATTCTCGGTTCTTGAGCCTAATGTTTGAAACTTGCCACCTTGTTGAATACGAAAAATATGTTAGTTTTTCCTAAGTTTTAGGCAGTTTTATCGACATTTTAGAAGATCACTTTGGCGAACATTTTTTGACTTAAAGTGAAGAACTTCCCTGTCAAGGAAAGATGTAGAATTGAGACAAGTTGATGGCCCTAAAGCAAGGCTAATGTATTGATAACGGTGTGTCACCAGGGAATTATAAATCAATTCTATCATTATTTTCACGCCATCATTATCAACCTTTTCAAGATAGGAAATCATAATTGATTTCGACTCCTTGGCAGTACCCGTTAGCATACCATTTATTGGGATACCTATGAAGTTTATTTCGTCAAGATTCCAAAATTATCTTGAGTGATAATCTGGTGCTAAAGTGGTAGCACTCGACAAAAAAAACATCTGGGGAACAGTCACTTATGGTTTTTGAT